TCCCCCACCGCGGTCGAACGTTTATTTAGCTTAACAATTTCCGAGGGCCAAACCGTTGCACCCAACAGCACCCACTGCTCTCTCCCCTCGTGTTCCACCGGCTGCATTATTCTGTCTCGTTACACTACGCTCCTTTTAATACTGTTTCTCCTCCTACCCTCCCTTTCTACGATCTAATTAACGAGCGAATAAAGTGCACGAATGCGCTGCTTTCTCTATAGGGACCGGTGTGTCCGAGGTAGCGGGGTGGAGGAAAGGGAGGATTGTAAAACAAGAGGGTAGTTAGGAATAGAAACGGGAGAATATTCCAAGGAAGCATTTGAATTGCAAGGAACTTGTTTGCGCGCTTTATGAATACCTCGAGGGATAATGATATTACTTTGGAGTGGTGTGGGGAAAGTTGGCGAAACAGTGGCGTACAATTCTCAGTTATAATTCCACCCCCTTCGTTTCGAAAGTAAAAGAAGAAGAAGAAGAAAATGTGTATAAGAGATACTTTATCCAAGTTTCTTTTCACTTCTTCTTTCGTTAATTAGCCAGATATCTGTCGTGTGAATGTTCGATTTCGTTGTATTCGGGACTCTAAGGGGGCTATTGTCCCTTGATTTTCAACCCTAATCGTGAACCCTCGTGGCGGAGATTCTCTCCCCGGTTTAAACGGAAACATCCTGCATTCATTGAGACGCCGTCTGCGTCGTCGACGGGGGAGGATGAATGTTTAATTACCTCGAATCGTGGAAGAGGAGTCAGCGACGTCGGTCGCGAGATCGACCAGCTCCTCGTAGCCTCCTCTGTCGCCCTCGCAGTCCATCATAGTGTCCTGAAATCAGAGGAAAGGATTCACGTGGGTTTAACAGAGACACCGTCGATGGGTTGATACAATTTCACCTTGTTACTCTACTGGGAGAGATGACAAGAAATTTATGTGAAATCTTGTGTTAGGTGTACAAATTAATTCGTAGCCTTTGTTATTTATTTAAAAAAAAAAAACAAAGCACAGTTCATCTTGGTAATAATCCCGATCACACGCTATACGTTTGTTCCATTTCTCGGGCAGTCGGCGAATTCCCTTTAGAAGAAGTGATGGCGGTTTCGAGCGTGTAAAATCAACGTATGTTCGTATGCTCGGAATTTTGAATCGGTCAGACGGTGGTGAAGTGAACGAAAGAGATAATAGTCCGATGGAGCTGCCGCAAAAGCACTTTTCTTAAGTTGAGATGCAAAAAGGACGCAGTGTCTAATATGCTGTTTATCCGGCGACATAGTCTTCTCCGCTGTTTCTCGGGTTATGTCATATGTCACATCGAGTCCGATAGCGTTTCGTTTTCCTAGTAGAAGCAACTTGAGAACTCAGCGGGGAAACAGATTCAATTGAAAGTAAAGTTACAGCTGATTAATCGCAAGGGCGACGAATTCATTTGTACACCTAATACATCGACGATTGTGAATTCGTTGAATTAGAGTAAAATCGGCTGTGCAGGTGTAATTTTTGAACGAGCAGATTGCAGCTTGATATAGTCGTAAAGTAGACAGTATAGAGGACCGTGTTGCGGAGGAATGCAAACGGGAGAATGTCATTGGTCGGTGATAAAAAAGAAGAGAAAAAGAAACGCGTGTCCTCTCCCTCGAGGGAAGGCGGAGGAGAAAGAAAAAAAGGAAGAGAAGAAAACCGCAAGAAGTATCCATCAAAAGGGTTAACGAGATTCCGCGTCGTAGTCGCCGCTTTCTGGCCCCTCTTCTCGATAATTTCGAAAAATTGAAACCGGCAAAAAACGGAGGAACCGGTCCCGGCAGGCGGTCACCATTAATGTAGCACTTTGTAATCGGCGGAGCGTTCTCATCGTTACGACTTTCTCCGCGGAATAACTCTTATTTACAACGAAATTGCACGGTGTTGCGCGGCGGACGTTTAATTACCCACGATTTCCCATAAAATCCGTCAGCGTGTTCGCGACAGCCAGCTCCCCACTCTCTTCTTCGTTAACCAAAGACCGAATTAAACTCCTCTCCCTCTCTCTCTTCTGACCGTTCGAAAAACCCTTAAGCCGATCAAGACTCGATATAAAGTCCGTCGGAGGGGGCAGAAAAATGCAACGAGCAACAGTGGCAAGTCGTTGAGAACCGCTAAGCGAACACAAGGTAGACGTCGTAAAAAAGCATCGTGCAACTTTATAAAGTGCGAGCATCTGCCTCGAGAAAGCGAGAATTCGCTGATACCGATAGGGACGGGGTTGAACTCAATATGCACCTAAGTAGATAACACAGAACCGATTTAATTTGAAAGAAAAATGTAATTCTTGTGAAAAACTTGTCATATTTATGAATGAGTTAGGTCTACACTTTCGTCAAGTTCAGTGTGCACTTAAGTACTCAAGGAAGAATCGAAGAATTTAATTTAAAAAGTATACCTAGACGATTCTAATGAAAAATTTGCCTCATTTATGAACGTGTTAGGTTTACACTTTGATCGAGTTCAATGTGCACCTGAGTACTCAAGGAAGAATCGAAGGATCTAATTTAAAAAATATACCTATACGATTCTAATGAAAAATTTGCCTCATTTATGAACGTGTTAGGTTTACACTTTGATCGAGTTCAATGTGCACCTGAGTACTCAAGGAAGAATCGAAGGATTAAATTTAAAAAATTTATATAATTCTAATGAAGAACTTGTCACATTTATGAACGAGATAGATCTACACTTTGATCAAGTTCAATGTGCACCTGAGTACTCAAGGAAGAATCGAAGGATTAAATTAAAAAAATGTAATTCTAATGAAATTATCACGTCAATGAACGAAGAGAAAGAAAGTACACGAAAAATGATAGACCTACTCTTACAAAAAAGGTCTTCTCACCCTATAACACTATAAAACTTACGTGTCCATTTATTCATATTTTTTAAGTTTCATTTTAATAGCTCATTGGTGTACTATTATGCTCAATAGCATTATATCGTTGAACTCTTAAATTATGGTTAGCTTCTAGTAAATAGTAACTTCCCTTCCCCTAGAGGGTTAATTTATCCAGTAACCCCGATTTAAAAAGACACACAATTCTACTGGAAGATTTGTCACGTCTATGAACGAAGAGAAACGAAAGACAGTTTTATTGAAGGCTTACAAAACTATTGCATAATACGGTCATCCACTGAACATTGATTTCCCGCAATATCCTGGAACCGAACCAAGGGTCTCTCCCCGACAAATCTGCACTTTCGGACTTTTCACCGACCATTCTGGCTACCGAGTGGCCAGTTTACAACCGCTGACCTTGGTCCTCTGTAAATTTGGGAAATTTATCGCGCGCACCCAGTGACCCAGAGACACCCGTGGCAATAAACATGAAAAACCGACGGTGGCTCCGGTTATTGTCCTATTTCTCTCCCCCTCGACCATGTTTCCTCGCCAAATTTTACAATCTCCGTACCCTCCGTCAATTAACAGAAAGACACCGTAAAAATTTCTCCGGCGAATGTACAAGTAACACGGAAACGGTGTTTTAAGTGGATTTAAGAACCGATAAGAGCATTCTCGACACGTCGAACACGTATCTTCGAGGAAGTTTCTCGCGGAGAATTGCGTCCTTTAAGCGAGCGTGGATCATTCGTTTGGTTCAAAGATCGCGATATCGTGCAAAAACGCGTGGATCGCGCACCAACGTCCGAGGAACGTGATTTCGTGGACCGTCGACTCGTTGGAACAGTCCTGAAAAATGTGTAAATCGTCGCGTGTAAACGTTGACCAGCTGTTCGGAGAATGTGAAAACGAGGCTCTTTGCGGGAAGAAGGAAGGAAAACAGAGAGAAGCCGGGTACTTTACTCGGACCAGGAAACACGAATTTGAACGATATTACAAAGTAGCCTTGAGTATGCAAATCCTGGAGGCGGAGGAACCACTTACGGGACGTAATTAAGGAGGATTGCTGAATTTATGCGCGATTAAATGAGAATCGGATCGATCGAACCGCACACATGTGCACTGTAATCTTCGTTGTAATTTGAAAAAGGTGAAGCCTCTTTGAGAACGTCTGAGCTGACCGACAAAATTAAAAAACGACGAAAGGATAAATTAGGAGAAAACAGGGAAATTAATTCGTTAAAACGGAGAGGTAATAAAGGTAAATGAATTTATCTACGAATTACAAAAGAGACGAGAGCTGGTGTTTAAAAAGAATTTATATTTTCCGTCACTTTATAGAACGTGATTCTTTTCTTTCGATTTCGATCCTCTCGCGGGCTCTTTCGTCGATTTTCCTCGATCTGAAGAACACAATTTGTCCGTTGAATTCTCGAGGCAGGTTTACAACGGAGCTTAGGCGACGGAAGATTAATAGTAGATCCGCGGTATCGATTGGACGAGTAAATAAAACTGCTCTGTTTGCAAACTGACCTGGTTTCCACTCGAGAAGCTCGGCTAATTGAGGCCTTGACACGGACAAGGATGCAGATTCCTCGGAACAAGGAACAGCGGAGAGTTTAAACGCGTAAGTCACCGTGTATATATACGCGATTCTTCCCTCTTTACCGAGGAGGACACAAATTTGCATCTGTTTTACCGACGGACAAAGGAGACAATTCCGCGGAACGTCTTCCGGGCCAAAAATGAATATTAATAAAAGCTACGTTTTATCTGGCTGTTTGAGTTATAAAACAGCGAACGCGAGCGAAACGGGAAATCCGAGGAAAGAAATTGACGCGCCAAAGGGAATCAAAGTTGGCGAGTAACTTTTTCCAATTTAAACGTGAAAATTCCCAAAACTGTTCTCGAGTCCGTTAAACGATTTGCTGGCCTTTTTAAAAGCGAAACAACACAGGGGAAACCTTCGATTAAAGCGAAATCACCGTGTAGATGGTAGGATAAGAAATGCACGCGAACGAAATCGATATTTTCTACCGAGGTACATATAAGCGTCGTATTTCCCGTAATGAAATTACCAAGACGACATGGGGAGTGTAACAGGCGACAGGTTGTTAAATAAAATTCCGTAACGATGTGGAAAATGTAACAGGTTTGTGAAGATTGGAAGAGCCTAGTAGAAAACAAGCTGTCGTGTTTCTTCTACGTGTCGTCGATAATTGAACGATCGATGGCGATCAAATTTAATTACACGATACTTGGAATCGCCTATTTTTTCTTTTTCTTTTTACGAAAATGTGGAAACGGAGATTGAACGTTTCTACACTGTGTGTATAAACCGAAGGCAACTCGGTTAATTTACCCCCCTGAAACGTTAATCGCGAATCAGTCTCGTTATGGCCAGTAACCCTTCATCAGGCTTATCAATTTTAAACACGCATAAATGCCCGATAAACGTAACTAATTTATCCATAAAACGCTCGCGCAAATTAGTTCCGGTGCTACTCTCTCTCTTTCTCTGTGAGGCTCTGCGTAGCCGTCATCCATCTAAATTGCAAATACGAAGGAATTTTAATAACCCCCACGGTCGTTCACCCGAACGATCGTTAATATAAATTAGAAAAACCTGTTGGATCTCCTTCACGTGAAAATTCAACGACTCCTCTTTTTCCTATGAATGCGGACGAAAAATGGGGGGAAATACGGGGTGCGAAGTGTGGAACGATTCCTTTTTTCTTGTGAATGTGGACGAAATATGGGGTGAAATTCAGGTGGACCGTGAGTCGCTTGACGAAGAGCTACTTAAAATCGTGTGATGAGAATTTGGGAGAACTGATTTTCCATCGTGTGATAAGTATCATATTTGGGAGAACAGACTTTCAATCGCGTGATAAGTATTATATTTTGGAGCACAGATTTTCAATCGTGAGATAAGTATTATATCTGGGAGAGCAGATTTTCA